GTTGATGATGACGTCAACATCGAACAGTCAGGCGGCGAGCGAGCGCTGATGGCATCAACAAGAACTAGTCATCATCATCATCATCATCATCATCAACAATCATCATCATCATCATCATCATCATCATCATCATCATCATCACGTGTGTGATCGTCGGATGGGGTACTATTCGATCAGATCGATCATATCTATCTTTTCCCAAATGAAATCGAGATATGGTCGAAATGAAGACCTGATGACGCAATCTCCGGCCTACAAGGGCACGACTCTCCGGGCCACGAGTGCATGGCCTCGGATTTTTTATTATTATTATTTTTTTTGGGGGGGGGAAAGAGAGTGCATGGGGGCATCAAAAGGAAATATGCACGTATTGAAGGCAGGTTTCCAGTCAGATACATGCATTCATTCATTCGGGGTAAATTGATTGAATGCAATGCATAATCATCAAAACAGAACGCATAATCGTCGTGGATGCATGTATTACAACCAGGTTTCGGTCCAGCTGCATGCCGCCATCACCATCACCATTCCCATCCGATCTCTCCTCCGTTCGCCGGCCGATTGTTCACGATGATCACAGGTCCCTTCTTTTTTTTTTTTTTTTTTTTTTTTTATCAACTAGCTAGGAAGAAGCTGCCGTTTCGTGGGAGACGAGTAACAACTAGCTAGTGACGTCAACACAAACTGATGATGTCGATGACGATGATGACGATGATGATGAGGATGAGGATGAGGATGAGGATGATGAGGAGGAGGAGGATAATGATAATGATCTATTATGATGATGATCAGTTTGCATTGACGTCAACACAAGCTGATCATCGTCGTGATCATCCGTTTGCGTTGACGTCAACACAAACGTGGCTGCGAGCCCCGTCAGCGAAGAGGGACCGATCACCACGTCAGAAAAAAGGAATATCGAGATACGTCAACAGCTAGTGATGGACCATTATGAGGGCAAGATGAGTGCTACTGCCTTCTTCCCCCCAATACAACGCACCCTAATGATTTTATACAAGCGAATATCTTTTTTTCCGGTCGGATCCAATCACCATGAGGCCGCGTTGTGTTCAGGGGAAGGCGGTGGTGGCGATCCTGAGCATACGCTAACCCCCATGCTCAGGATATAGCCCTTGCAAACCATCTTTCTCTGAGAGACATATATATCTGTTTGTGACAAACAGAGCTGCCCGGTAAACCGTAGGCAGAGAGGGAGAAGAGGACAACAAACGAGGGGCTGTGACAAACTGCTTCGTCGGAGTTTCACCGACTCATCAGGAGGCTGAACATATATATATATTTATATACTACTGTTTGACGATATATATATGTTACGATATATATCGTACATATATGTTCAGCCTCCTGATGAGTCGGTGAAACTCCGACGAAACAGTTTGTCACAGCCCCTCGTTTGTTGCCCTCTTCTCCCCCCTCCCTCTCTGCCTACGGTTTACCGGCGGCAGCTCTGTTTGACTATGTATATGTAAAAGAGACATCACACACAAAAAAAAAAAAAAGGATGGGTACCGCTGGCAGGAGGAGGGTGGGTTTCGCGTTGATTTCAGATCCAGAGTTGGGAGTGAGAGCGAGCTTAGCCGAGACGACGGGCCCTCCCTTCTCCAGGAAACAGCAGAAGACGGAAAGTGGTGGGGGGGTGGAGAAGGGGAAGGAGGGGAGGAAGGGGGGAGGAGGAGGTAATCATGTAGCTCCTGCTGCAGAGGACTCAGAAGGGAACAAAGGTCATTTTTCTTCCGAGGGCAAAGAGGTTTCAAAGCGACAGATCGAGCTGGTGCAGCGGAAAAAGGGCAGCAAGGAGGAGACAGAACCACCTGCTTCTCCCAATACACTGGAGGTTGTCAGCTCAGGGGAGGAACTCACCGACTACTTAAGCTCAGGACCCCAGTCTCCGGCCTCTTCAGGACAACCGGCGGCTGCTGCAGGCCAGCAGAGGGATCACCAACCCCCCCCCTCTTCTACACTACATCACCTCCATCTCATCTCTCCTCCTTTATCACCCCGCTTTTCCGATCCCTCCTCTGCGGGTTCCCCCGCTTCTCCCTGCTTCAACCTGCAGCTAACTGACCATGATGACCCGGCAAGTCCCAAGCTTGTGGGAAGGGGATCTCCACCAATCCCGACCCCTATAATCGGTCATCTGGGGACAGATGGGGGTCCTCTTCGCAGGCAGCTTCATTCCACTGGGAACCTGCAGGACTGGGAGAGAGTGACACGTGGTGCCGAGAGCTTTGGCTATGGCGGTGGCCACGAAGATGGAAGCAAGCAACCGCAACCTGTGGCTATGGTGGGCTCTGGAGCCTCCCCAGCCATGGGAAGGGAAAGAGGGAGAGGAGGGCAGACGTCTATCAAGGCTTGGTTTCGTCGTCCTGCGGCCTTCAGGGGCTTGACGGACGATCACATGTTGAAGGGGCCAGAGAGCGGGGGGATCACGAAATGCCGAACGACGCCAAGGCAGCGAGTTGTGCCTCAGACACGACAGCGCTCCCCCTCTGCACCACCAATACTCATTTCTAGCTCTACCCGCTTTCTGCAAGATGAGGAGGGGAGGTGGTTGTCTAACCCTTTCTCCGAACTGCAGCAGCAGCAGCAGCGTAAACCCCTCCCTCCCGGGCAAAGGGCCTCAGACGACAAACCACCCCCCGATATAGAGATTATCCCCTGGGTGCGCTTCACGCTGCAGGTCCGCAAGCGTGTGGAAAGCAGCAGCAGCAGCAGCAACAGCACAGTGACATTACAGGACTTCTTGACCAAGCAAAAATATGCAGCCAACTTCTCGTTGACGTCAACTGCTCACAACCAGTCCGATCAACAGCCGTCAGATCTTTCTAAGCCGCGATCAACGGCGGGCGCAGTTTACCCTCCTGCCTCTTCTCCTGCCTCTTCTCCTCCTCCTCCTCCTCCTCCTCCTCCTTCTCCTCCTACCCATCACCATCAGCATCCCCGTGCTCAGCATCCGCAGAAACGTAGTGGCTCCCAGCAGGGGCCGATTTCGCAGGTGCAAAAGCTTGCACCTAACCAACCGCCTCCTCCTCCCCACCACGGAAGCAAGTGGCTGTCGGCATCCCCATCGCTTGTGTCTCCTCCATCCCGTACGTTCTCCCACTTCGTTGCAGATTTTGCACAGCTTGGCGGCCTGGCAAGAAGCAATACTGATGCTTACGGCGACTCCGGTTATGGTGGGACGTCTCCAAGAAACGTTGCAACCTCTTGGCCGAGCAGCTATGCCGAAAAGGCCTCTCCTTTCTCCTATGCTTTGCTCCATGGTCATCACGGTCATCCTCATCGTCTTCACCAGCCTTCCAAGCCACATGCCTCACGTTTAGATCACCAACAACAGATCACATGCAGCGTCTATGTCCCGGAATCGGGGGGTATGGTGGTGGCTGGACTGCTGGATGGCACCATAGTCATGTGGAGAAGAAAGAAGAGATACACGAACACTCCAGCCTTCTTCTTGGGACATAAGGGAAGGGTGATGAGTCTCCACCATCTTGGAAGGTCTTCTCTCCCGGAGGGCACCCCACTCCTGCTACTTAGTGGTTCTTGCGATTTCACTCTCAAGGTCTGGGACCCTGAGCTCAGGGGTAGTAAGATCACTCTCAAGGCCCAGGACCCGGAGCTGAGGGGTAGTAAACAGCAGCAATGCATTCAAACTCTGGTGGGCCATGAGGGGACCATCACTTGTATCTCTTCTGTTGGGTGCTCCATCATCTCGGGCAGTTCGGACCAGACAGTTCGCTTATGGTGTCCCCAAGAAGGGAGGGATGACGCGCTCTACCCTTGGTTCGAACCGCAGCGAGTTGTGACCCACATGACCGGATGGGTCCACTCCTTAGCCTTTGCCTCGGCAGGACTGTTGGAAGATTGTGGAATGCTGTATGCATCAGACAGTGACGGAAATGTAGTGGCTTTCGTCCCGGTCGTAGCAATTCCTCACTCGAGAGCAGGTAGGTTCAGAAGATTCAACTTGCAGCCATTCGTGCAGCACCATGGGACTTTGAGGAGCTCACAACGGGTCCAGGTCCAGTCTATGAACCAGGCTGGATCACAATCTCTGCAGGTGGATCTTCTGCGCCCAGGTACACAGGCTGCTCAGCGGACAACATCCCAGCTGATTGATGATGGGAGCAAAAGAGCCATTACAGCAATAGGAAAGACGAGAAGTTCCAGCCTGGGCTCGATCCCAAGACCGAACTCGTCAGTGACGGACCAAGAAGTGCCAGCTCGTACTGGTCATGTTGGCAGTTGGTACTTGAGTTCCAGACTTGGCGGTAGCCTACAGACGGGATCCCGGAACGAAGCCATGCCCAACAAACCCCCTCAGAACAAGGGTCTTATGCCTCAACGCCTAAGAGGAGGGGATGATGGGTACGAGGACAGAAGAAAGGGAGGAGGAGGAGGGAGAAGTTTCGTCAATGACGGGAGTGTAAACAGTCGTTCTTTTTTGTCGAATAGTGTAGGAGGGGTGAAATACGACAAAAACAAACGGATGTCATGGACAGATGGGATGACTGGCCGTCAGGCAGCAGCAATGGAGAGTTCAAGAAGGCACTCGTCGGCAGACAGTAGCGAGAAATGGATGACAAGGGTGATTGCTAGCCGTGTCGGAGGTGAGGGAACATCTGCGAGCATAGTTGACCTCGACGCACTTGGAGGATTGGTAGCAGGGGAGAGAGCTGCAGGACAGGAAGGAACAGCTGCAGGAAGAGGAGCAGCAGAACGGGGAGGAGGAGGAGGAGGAGGAGGAGGAGGAAGAGATGGAGAGGGAGAAGAAGGAGGAAGAGGAGAAGAGAGCGAGGAGTTAAAGCCCAAACTGACCGCAGAAGAGAAACAAAGGTCTCTCGCCTCAATTCGGTCGTCACTGCTTAGTTGGGTAGGATACGATCGTCATCGATCTAGGGAAGGAGGAGGAGGAGAAGGAGGAGGAAGGGGGGGGGGAGGAGGTGGTGGAGGAGGAGGAGGAGGTGGTGTCCGGAGTTTGTCGTCTTCGGTCACTCCGACCCCATTCATACATCTTACATCCAAGCGGTCTATCTTCAAGGTTGTCTACATGTGGGATGAAAGGCAGATCTTGGCCTTGACGCTTAACCCAGAGCTTAGGATCTATGACTCTACCACCGGCACTCTCAGTCAAACTCGAGCCAATCCTAACAATGTCCGCTTCACTGCAGTTGCCTGGAATGCTCATCATAAAGAAATCTTAGCCGTAGATGTATCAGGCTACGTGTTCATCTACGATCCTTACCACGCTCAATATAAGTTCTCTCGCCAGTTGGTTACGGCTGAGCTAACGAACATAGCTGTGGCAAACAGGGGGCAGGAGTTGGTGGCGACAAGCAAGACATCTATCATGATCTGGAGAATCAATAGGGCTCTGGACTACTTCAAGTTGAAGGATGGACATGGTGGACCGATTGTTGCCCTGCACGCCTTCAGACAAAGGCCCATCGTCAACTGGTCATTAGCTGTCGGCTTGGCAAAGAGCTTTGCCTCAGCCTCCATGGACAACACCATTCGCCTGTGGGACTTAACCACCATGAAATGTTCTCGGCTGCTCAAAGAGAAAGCTTCGGAGATCACCTGTATGATTTACGTTGACGACAACAGCACCCTCATCACCGGCCACGAGGATGGTCATATCCGACAACGCAGTCTGGATACCGACTCTTGCGTGAGTGTTAAGCGGCATGGGAATACAGTGAGCTGCTTGGCAATCATTCCTGGTTCAAGTTCTGGTCTCGGTTCTGGTCCTGGTGGTGGACAGCGTGTCCCTTCTCTTGCACTTGGGGGTCAATTCTCCCCCCCTAGGAAACCGAGTAAGAAAGTTATCCCCTGGCAGTTGGTTACGGGCAGTTACGACGGTAGGATCGGGCTATGGAACCTAGGGAAGAGGTCCAACACTCTACCGGAACTGACAACGATGTGGGAAGCCCATCATGAGAACGAGGTATTGGCCCTTATATATGATCCGCTGAAGCACAAGCTTATCACAGGAGGAAATGACAAATTGATCAAAGTGTGGCACCTGGGGTTATCTCAACTAGAGGGGATTCATTTTGGCCACACGGAGGCCGTTACCTGCTTTGCTCTGCATGAGCGCTTCTTGTTCTCAGGCTCTGATGACTGTTCCATTCGAGCATGGAACTTATCCACCTCTTCATACCATGACACACTCGTCAAGCACTTGCGAGGCCACCGAAAGACGGTGACCGCCATCGAAATCGTGGAGGAAACCGGCCATCTCCTGTCATGTTCTATGGATGGTACTCTTCTCATCTGGGATTACGGCAGAGAAGTCGTCCTTAAGAAGTTCGTTCATACTGAAGCGTTCTCTTGCTTAGCTTACAAACCTAGCTCCAAGGACATTATCATCGGGACTCAACAAAACAATATCTTGGTCTACACCATGCCCTCAGAGTTGCGATCTTTGAGTCATCGATGGATGATGACCTACACTAGAAAACGTCTTAGCAATAGGTTTTGATGTTATCCCCGCACTAACATGTCTCCCGCATAGCATCGGCGAAGTACCCGCATAGCATCTGATAAGTACCCACATAGCATCAGCGAAATACCTGCATAGCATCGACAATACCCGCATAGCATCGACTAAGTACCCGCATGAGTAAGTAGGTGATGTAGACCATACAAGTGATGGTGTAAGCGGAGAGTTCCGCAAACCGAATCGCTATCCCTTCCAACAGCCCAATTATTACCCGCATGAGTCATCGATCTATAATGACCTACATCCAAAGAACGTCGTAGCACTGGGTTCTTAATATGTTATCGTTGCACTAACATGGCTCCTGCATAGCACCCATATAGGACCAGCATAGCACCGGCGAAGTAGCTGTATAGCACCGGTACAAGTGATGGTGTAAGCGGAGAGTTCCGCAAACCGAATCGCTATCCCTTCCAACAGCCCAATTATTACCCGCATGAGTCATCGATCTATAACTACCTACAGCCAAAGAACGTCGTAGCATTGGGTTCTTAATATGTTATCGTTGCACTAACATGGCTCCTGCATAGCACCCATATAGGACCAGCATAGCACCGGCGAAGTAGCTGTATAGCACCGGTATAGCACCTGCATGAGTCGTTGATCCGTGATGAGCACTAACATGGCTTTTGCATAGCACCCACATAGCACCAACATAGCATCGATAAAGTAGTCGTATAGCACCGGTATAACCCCCTGCATGAGTCATTGATCCATGATGACCTACATTAAAAAATGTCGTAGCACTAGGTTCTAACGCTATCGTTGCATGAATACGTCTCCCTCATAGCACCCGCATAGCATTGGTTAAGCACCCGCAAATCACCAGTATAGCACCCACATGAGTCACCGATGCATAATGACCTATATCAAGAAACGTTGTGGCACTAGGTTCTGGTCGCTCAACCCTCATACCACCCACATAGCATTGACAAAGCACTCGCAAATCACTAGTAAAGCACTCCCATGAGTCATCCATCCATGAAGACCAACATCAAAAACGTCGTAGCAGTAGGTTTTGATGCTCCGATATGTCTCCCACATATCACCCTCATAGCACCCACATAGCACCCACATAGCACCGGTAAAGCACCCGCACAGCACGACATAACAACGAGACGAGTCATCAATGATGACCTACACCACCTGTGTAGTATCCGCATAACACCCACATAACATCAACAAAGCACCTTAATAGCACCGGTATAGAAGCTACGTACCATGAATGCGCTTGATCCATACACAGTCTGAAGCCAAGCGCCTGTTGGTCAAACTAGTATTGGGGTGGGTGACCTCTTAGGAAGTCCCGCTGCTTTGTGATCATGAACCTGATCGCAATAGCCTTAGAGATTCCCTGCAGCAGACAACGCTACATAGCAAAATTCCAAGCAACTCGTATCCATTGCCTTTCTACTAACCCTTCTCTACCCTCCTCGTTGACAAACTCTGGATAGAACGATGAAGATTTTGTCGGAGTTAAATTCCCTGGAAAGTTGTGGAGGTCTTCAGATTGACCACAACTGGAATGCCTATGAATATATGATGCGTTTTAGTCGAGGCCTCAACAGTTATAGGTGCTAGGGGCCTACCTAGGCTATGGTAACGACTTGTTACGTTAGCTTCCGTTTACCCTTAGAAGATGTTTTGTTCTCGCTTTGTCCAGGTGTCGTTATGTTTTTCCACTCGCTGCCTCGGCGAGGCTTTTCCTTTTTTTTTCTTGTAATCTGGAGTTGTCTCATTTCTTAACATACTCATTGTGTTGTTGTACTTGTCTTATCCCTCCAATTTTTTCATCTCTATACAACTACTTAGACAAAGTGCATCAACAACAGTGGTAGACATAGCCATAACGTAATAATAATAATAATAATAATAATAATAATAGTAATTAAAATAAGAATAAGAATAAGAATAAGAATAAGAAAAAGAAAACGAAGAAGAAGAAGTAGAAAAAGGAGAAGACTAAGAACAGTGACAAGCAGTTGCCAAGGAAGCAAGGATGCTTCGGCACACATTTTTCATTTGATTACCCTTAATCTTTGCATGTATAAAAAGGAGACGAAGAAAAAAAAGATAATAATTATGACTACCATAGTGATGATAATAGTCGATTACCCAGCCCATAATTGTCGTGCGTTTTCTTTTGTCATTTTTCTTGTCGTTTTTTAGCTCGTGTGTGTGTGTGCGTTTGACTATGTGTGTGTGTTATGTGTGTTGTGTGTGTCTGCATGCTAACCCGTTTGTAGCAGTCTTCAAATGGACTCTCCTCCTTAGAAAAACAAAATGATCACAATTCGTATTGGTGCTACCCGTGGGTCGTGGCTGCTTGGTTTTTGTTCATATTGATGCGAGGTTTATTGAACCAAATGTGTCATGCTCAATGTCCTTAAGCACCAGTCCTAAGCTTGTTGTAGTGAGTGTACGATGCTCAGCCCAAGTTCCCAGCCGTTGATGAATTAAACTGAGATCTCTTCGTCTTCTACCTAGCCGTTGACAAATTTCTTGCTACTGACTACTGCGCAGAGTGTTTAAACATCATCCGCGGTCTTTACAAACATTACTTCTATTGACCAAATAACAAACATAGAGATTACGGGCATACCCACATAGGGATGACTTTTTCTACGTAGCTTTGGACGTGATGGCGGGCAGATTCATCCATGTCTGGTCGTAATTGCAGTCACATGCATTTTGGGAAGTGCTAGTGTGAGCATGCCCTTCTTGACGTAATTGTCCGTAATTGTCCGTAATTGTCCGTAATTGTTGTCACATGCATTTGGGGAAGTGCTAGTGTGATCATGCCCCTTAGCAGAAGAGTCATCCTAGGACAGTTTGGTTGTCCTCAATACTCTATACTACTGTCTTTCCCCGACTATAGCATATGGTCTTTTTTTTTTTTCCTTTTTTTTCATCAAGCTTCAATATTACTTTTCAAATTCAATATACGGCGGCGTATTACGACCATTATTGCGGTACCTGGAATGAAAGTTGCTCCAAATAGAGACATAATGATCGTATATTCTATTTAGGGAAAGAAGGAAGACTCTTCTGGCATCTTCATTTTACTTATACTCACACGAAGACCTTTTCCCGTAGTCTGGCCCACATGCATCTGGTTCTGGCCATAAATGAAGGCAGATAGACATATACATTTAAGGTAGTGCTAGCATAAGTACGCCCAGATCCTAACACTCTTTTCTTTACGTTTTTGTCTTTTTTTGGGAAAAATGCAGCAGTACCCCACTTAAAGATAAGAATACTCGCTATACCCAGTCCAAGTGCAAACTTGCATCTATACCCGGAAAAGGATTGGTAGGACTGTTGGAAATTAATTGCATGCCAGGACTAAGGTGGACTCAGGTCGGTACCTCACAGTTGTGGTTATAACCAACTACCGAAATGCACAAATTATAGATATAGCCTGGTAAAATTATGAGCATTCATGGGATTGAGGTGAACGGCCAAATTATTCATATACCCTACTATGAGCATGATTTCGTTGTCTGCCACCCAAGACCCGCCACTGGGTGTGGGTACCCCCACAATTTTACCACCCTGGTTTCCCGACATGAGCATAATTTTGTGGTCCAAAACCAAGACTGGGCCTGCGTATAATTTCGCACAGGGGAAAGGTTGGGTACTATGCAAAGTTGAACGGGGTCTGGGTATAGATCCAAATTCATGTTGGGACTGGGTATAGTGGGTATTCCCATCCTTACGTGGGGTACAGATACAATTTCGCCCTTCTTTTTTCGTCAAGCCTACCTAGTCGTTGTCTTCACTGTTGTTGTCATGCCTTTTTTTTTAATGAAGCCAGACTCCAAACACACACAGTAGTTGCAATCTCAGCCAGCCATCAGTTGTTCTGATTTTTTGTGAGACCACCTCCTAGCGCACCCCTGTGACGTACCAACTTCTATACTCGAACGAGCTTCCGAAGCCGTGAGTTCTATTATCTGTGCTTTTCGATCCTTAATGGGCTTTAGGGGTACCTTTTCTTTTCGTTGGCAGTATGCATGGAATCAATGGTTGACGAGACCCTCCTACTTTTCATGCCTTGTTTTTTTTTTTTTTCATGATTTTTTTCGCAAGTTTTCTTCGTTGATCCAAGAATTTACGTAGGACTTGCGCACGTCTTAGCGAATGCGCTAGGAATTTTGAACGGTAGTGGGAATTTTGAGATTTATGGTCGCGCTTCCCGCTAGCGTGTCCTTTCTTACAAATGAATGCCCCCAAATTTACCCTTGAAAACTTTGTGAATTTTCAGTAGGATCTGAATAGGTACATAATTTTTCTGCGTCTGATCTCATGCGCAGATATTGTTTTTGAATTTCTCAATCTTGAATTAGTATTAGAGCTTGAATGGGCGGAGCATAACTATTTTGGTGCCTTTTTGTTTATTTGTCGTGCCATGTATGCAAATTCCCCCCCCGCTTCCTGCTATTCCCTTGCCATCTTCACCTATCCGTTCTTTGCGCCTTCTTTCCTCCATCTGTAATTGTTTCGCATCCCCTCTCCCTACGCACTTCTCTCCCGCTCCTTTCCATTTGAATCTTGGTCCCGCCCGACGCTCTACACTACTTTTTGCGTTGTCCTTCTTCCCGGCCTCATCGCCGTATAAAACTCTCTACCGATACCCCTTCAAGATACTCGAGCCATCAGGTGACATCGTGTAAGGAAGAAAGTCCCCTCACGCTGTAATCTGATTGGCTGCCAAGGAACTCGCAGGGATCGATATGGATTTCCCTGGACAATTTACCTGAACTCTCTCTTCGGCCCTTGCTACGCACGCCCCATTCCCTTCTATCGTTTCTCCCTCTTTGTAACTATAAAATCCGCAAATACATCCGAAAAACTCTCTCTCAACCCATCTACCAACTTCCGAGAAGTCGTGGCTAAATGATGTGTATGTACAGCGATTCGAAAAGGTCGGACGAGTTGATTGTAGTTTTGCAAGGTTGTGTGTTGGGTAATCGTGACAGACTGCGGGATCTGGGCAAGCCGGTGTAGTAGCTGAGTCGAAGGGGTGACGATCGGTATGATGTGGAGATTGGTATG